AGCCTTGTGCCATCCTGCTCAAGGTCGGACGCTCTTAGTAATTCATGACCCAGACCATACTCAGCGGCCCTCCTGAGATCCACCGCAATAGTTGACGCAACGAGGTTCTTATAACCGTGAGAATCCGGGGCCACAAAAAGCCTTTCGCCGTCTGCTCAAGATCGGACGCGCTTAGTGATTCATGACCCAGACCATACTCACGGCTTTTCCCGAGATCCACCGCAATAGTTGACGCAACGAGGTTCTTATAACCGTGAGAATCCTGGCCGCAAAAAGCCTTCCGCCGTCCTGCTCAAGATCGGACGCGCATAGTAATTCATGACCGAGACCATACTCACGGCCCTCCCGAGATCCACCGCAATAGTTGACGCATCGAGGTTCTTATAACCGTGAGAATCCGGGGCCACAAAAAGCCTTTCGCCGTCCTGCTCAAGATCGGACGCGCTTAGTGATTCATGACCCAGACCATACTCACGGCTTTTCTCGAGATCCACCGCAATAGTTGACGCAACGAGGTTCTTATTAACGTGAGAATCCGGGCCGCAAAAAGCCTTCCGCCGTTCTGCTCAAGATCGGACGCGCTTAGTAATTCATGACCGAGACCATACTCACGGCCCTCCCGAGATCCACCGCAATAGTTGACGCAACGAGGTTCTTATAACCGTAAGAATCCGGGCCGCAAAAATCCTTCCGCCGTCCTGCTAAAGATCGGACGCGCTTAGTAATTCATGACCGAGACCATACTCACGGCCCTCCCGAGATCCACCGCAATAGTTGACGCAACGAGGTTCTTATAACCGTGAGAATCCGGGCCGCAAAAATCCTTCCGCCGTCCTGATAAGATCGGACGCGCCTAATAATTCATGACCGAGACCATACTCACGACCCTCCCGAGATCCACAGCAATAGTTGACGCAACGAGGTTCTTATAACCGTGGGAATCCGGGCCGCGAAAAGCCTTTCGCCGTCCTGCTCAAGATCGGACGCGCTTAGTAACTCATGACCCAGACAATACTCACGGCTTTTCCCGAGATTCACCGCAATAGTAGACGTAACGAGGTTCTTATAAACGTGAGAATCCGGGCCGCAAAACGCCTTCCGCCGTCCTGCTCAGTGTCGGATGTGCATAGTAATTCATAACCCAGACTATACTTAGCGGCCTTCCCCAGATCCACCGCCAATAGTTTACGCAACGGGGTTCTTACAACCGTGAGAATCCGTCCCGCAAAGAGCCTTCCGCCGTCCGGCTCAAGGTCGGACGCGCTTAGTAATTCATGACCCAGATCATACTCATTTGGCCTCCCGAGATCCACCACAATAGTTGACGCAACGAGGTTCTCATAACCGTGAGAATCCAGGCCGCAAAGAGCCTTCCGCCGTCCTGCTGAATGTCGGACGCGCTAAGTAATTCATGACCCAAACCCTACTCACGGCCCTGTTGAGATCTGCCGCATGAAGGGTTCTAACGGGGTCCTCAAGCGTGAGACTTCGTGGTCGTAAAAACCCTCCGCCGCCCACCCCAACGGCGAACGCGGCGAGTACGTTATGAGTGAGACCGGGCTCAGCGAGCCTCCTGAAATCCACAGCAGCAGGATACGCGTCGGTGTTCTCCTATCCGTGAGAATCCCGGGACGAGAAGGACCTTCCGTTGCTTTCTCTAAGGGTAAACGCGCCGAGTTTCTGATGACCGACGCCGTACTGAGCGGCCCTTCCGGGGTCACCGCAACAGTTGACGCAACGGCGTTCACTTAACCGTGAAAATCCCGGACCGCGAAGGTCCCTCCCCTGACTGCCCCAGGGGTGGACGCCCCGAGTAATTTACGACGAGACCGTAATCAGCGAGCCTCTGGAGATCCGCTGCAGCAGAGGGCCTCTACGGTTTTCCTAACCGTGAGAACTCGGGCCTCAGAAAACCTTCCGAAGTCATGCCCAAGGTCGACGCGCTGACTAGCTCATGAACAAGACCGTACTCAGCGGGCTTCCCGTGACCTGCAGGAAGAAGGGGTATAACTGTGTAATCAAGCAGGAGAATTCGGGGCCGCAAAGGACCTTCCGCCGTCCAGCCGAATGGCGGACGGGGCGAGTACGTCATTACCGAGCCCGTACTCAATTGAACAAGAAAAAAAAGAAGAGAAACACACTTTTGCTGCGTTTTTCCTCTTTTCACCCTCCCTCCTCTCGTGTACTTTTATGCACGAACTCAGCTCTCCTACGTAACGCCGCGGTGGTGGCGCGTCGGACGCACTTCCGGTCTGAGGCGGTGGGCAGAAGTCGCCGTGCGAGACATGCATTCTTGTGTTCTTTTCGGAGAAACCAGACAAAACATCTGCGTTCTCGTCAAAATGCTGCGACGGGGGCTGTACGAAAAGAGTCTGGAAAGGATTGAAGATCAGTTTTTATGTGTTTCTGGCCGCTCCGCTAGTCCGAGGTCGTGGATAGTAGCCGTGAAAAGGGTAAACCAGACGCTGTCGAACTACGATTGCTTGTGCGGGCAAAACTTTGTCGTCGCAAGATGTGTTTGTTTTCTTCCAACATGAACGAGAGGAAACCTTCAAGTTGTCCGGGCCACCCGCGGGTTCAGTGCGTCTTCAAATTCACACCGCCGCCTGATCCTTCGAACTTTCGTCTGCTCTTTCGAACTTGTCTGCTTTATTTCGTCTGCTCGTTCAAACAAAAGCGGCCCGTAGACCAAAGTTTGACCCGGTGACTGCAATAAGAAGTAATTGCAGGCGTCAAACGACTTAAGTAGGCTCAATGTAAACAGTAGATACAATATAGAGGTTTTTTGCGCGACACAGGGGACAATTACAAGCGAGTAGACACGGACAAGCGCAATTAGAGATACAAGATGTTGATCATTGGTACCGTTGGCCATCACCGACTTGTTACGCTTGGTCTGTTTCCGCTTCCGAATTTCAGTATCGACGTCAATCATCGCCGCTACATTCTACACTTTTGCAGCACGAGGGACGTCGCGACCGAAAATATCTAGAAGAATCTCATCGTGGTTTTGTCATTCATTCTGTGGCGTTCACGCGAATGAATCGCCGCACGTCAAATTATTGACGCAAGGTTTAGCGGTGTAACGAGCCTTGATAGTTTCGCTCAGGCGATTGAAGTGATAAGACATTGCTATGAGGACGTAGAATCGACAATTCCAACGCGAAAAAGAGTATGCAGACTCACACAGACGCCGACAACATGACATTTCAATGGTTTGTGGACGCGGGACGCGGTGCCTCTTGCCCGCACTCCATTTCGCATGCGTTCCAACTGTCGTCTGCTCTTTCAAACTTGTCTGCGTTTTGTCGTCAGCGCGTTCAAACAACGGCGGCCCGTAAACCAAACGTTGACACGGTAATTGCAATGGGAACTAATTGCAGGCCTCAAAACACTTTTGAAGGTTTGTTGGGGTAAGTAGGCTAAGTGTAAACAGTAGATATAAGAAGATGTTCATCATTGTTACCAGTGGCCATCGCCGATTTGTAATACCCAATTCTACATGCCGTTTTCAGCATCGACGTTCACCATCTCAGCCAGGGTCCACGCTTTTGCAGCCCGAGTGACGTCGGGACTGAAAATAGCGAGCAGAATCTCATTGTGAGAGTCAGGCTTTAGCGCCCATTCTGCGGTGTCCGCGTGAAATGAATCGCCGCAAGTCACATTATGCATGCAAACTTTTGCCTCGTTAATTTTGCTGAAGCCGCTCAAGTAGTCAGACATTGTTAGGAGGACGTAAAATTAACAATTCCAAGGCAAAAAAGAGCATGGGGACTCCCACCGACGCCGAAAACAAGGCAATGCAATGGTTTGTTTATGTGCGACGGCGGGCTTTTTGCCCACCCTCCACCGCGCATGCGCGGCGCCGGTGGCGACCGCTAGGGGCGTTCCGGTTTGTTTGTAAACATGAGTTGGTGTATGACTTCAGCAGGCACCTTCAGTGGCGATAATGATTTGCCTATGTTGCGGTCATGGTGTCCTGAACTTCTGTTTTTCCAAGTTTAGGTTCGACACCACCGAACTAGGATGATAGGCTATGGTATGACAAGAGCTAACGGAAATTGTGTAGCCCACGCAGCATTGGTGACCAACTAATAGACCGAACTCCAGAATACATGGAAATTCGGCCTGTTGCCGAACGGCGCGTAAAGAGAAGGTGTTTCCTCTAGCCGAGTGGATCTGACTACAAATGGAATCTTGCAAAACCTGTGAAAATAAACACAGGGCAAACGAGCCGACCACACGGACGGGTCACTCGTTGGACGTCAAAATTTGCTTTACCACAGCTCCTAGTCAGCCGGGCGTGCCCCCCCCCCCCCCCCCGCCCCCTTTGCTGTGTGCTGCAGTCGGGTCGCTCTAGTAATGGTTTGGTCGGCACAAACAATAATTTGGAAATTAGAGGGCATCACTTAAGTTCCTTTATGCTTTTCTATTTAGTGAACACCTGGATACGTTTTATCGGATTGCTAATATGCTCTTACTATTGTGCCAGTTGCATTTAATTCTGCTACAATATGTACTAATGGCGTCCGGTCTTCCCTACCCAAATAAAATGTATAATGTATTTACTTTGTTTTTACTAAGCTAACTGCGTATTGGAAGCTACATTCTACATGGACCAGTCTTCCGTCCGTCTTTCGTCGCATGAGCACAGCTCCCGCCATGGCCACGTGCAAAGAAAAAGGCCTGGAGCGGAGCCGGTTGGTTTGACATGCTTTCTTGAACACCAGATGAATGGAGAGAAAACACAGAAGCGCCAGCAGTGTGGTTCTTTTTTTTCTACTCTCCTTCGCGTTTCCTCTACGTTCAGCTTTTATTCAAGAAATAAATAAAAAAAAACGAAATCAAGCGACAAAAAACAGGGAGTTCATTGGTGCACCGAGCACGCAACTTCCACCTTCCTGTCGCGTTATGGGTAAACGTTTTGTACCAGGCTCAAAAAAAAAAAAAAAAAAAACTTATCGGGCTTAATATTACAAATTTGGTGATATAATACTTACGACATAAATGCAGTCATATGTTCCCTGGAACAATTCGAGAACTTTCGATTGCCGGGCTCCGAAGGATGCATAATGAAGTGATCATTCGTTCTAACTTTGCGGCAGTTCTTTCTTGGCGGAAGATATTTATTCCACGTATACGTTTTTCCATCGTGAGGCGCCCCAAGACTGTAATATTAGGAAGTAAAAATTGATATCATTAGGTTTTGCTGGGGTGCACTTTACCCCTTCATACACCGGTCTACCTCCTTCTTTCTCTGTGTGAATCGCTTTTTTCTTTCCTTTAATTGGATGGTCCACTGCTAGTGACCTGTGGCCGATTAACTGTAGGGTTCATTGCTTTCCCAATTTGACCCCATAGTTTTCAATGGAAGTTCTCTCAAGTATAAAGAAGACCAAGCTCCAATATCTCTCTTTTTACAAATTGCAAAAGAAAATTCCTGTAAATTTTATGTCATCAGTTTTGTATATCAAAATATAGATCGCATCTTTTCATAACTACTCACAATTGTTTCTGTGTAGAATCAATTATCTAAACATCACATGTACGCACAATTTACGACCCTCAAACTTTAAAATATTGTATTTGTATATATAACAGATTTTGTGGGCTGACAGAAGGAAAATGAAACACATAAAAAAGTGTCCGTACGCCATACAGGTTTAGCATGGCAACACAAATACAAAAAACTAGACTGGAAAAGAAAGATGTTATTAATGTTTAAGCAATATTCACATTTATGTTCAAAATATATTAGCATTTTCTAAGGATTACTAATTTTGGTTTTTAGCAAAATGAAAAAAAATGAAAACAAATGTGCGGGTGTTGCTTTAGGAGATGGAAGATTTGGTGCCTTCCGCTGTGTTCGACCTAATGTTGTACATATTTTGTTGCCGAGAATCGAGTCCGTCTCAGGTTATACGCAGTATCACCTCTTATTATTTTTCTTTTACAGAAAAGTTGTAAAGATGAAAAATTACTTAGGTATGGTTGATATGTGTTAGCTGGTGCATAGTTGATAAACGATGCTTCTAAAAATAAGCCACTGCACGATCTTTATAAGAACAGTAATAGAAATTAAAGTGGATTTATGGGTAGTATATTGAACGGTTTAGTTATATTAGAGAGACGTCGTTATTCATGAAGTAAGCTGATCGCTATGAAAAGAGCTCAACCGAGCATAAATGCATGTGCTGCCTCGTGCAGAGTCAATGAAACTACACAACACACACAAGCACACGCACACACACACACACACACACACACACACGCACACACACACACACACACACACACACACACACACTTTGGCGATTCAGCCTTAACGGTTTGCACGAGCGGAATCTAATGCCGATGTCACGCATATATAGCGCGCTTTGTTCTCTGAAATTTGTGTATTCGAATTTTTGCATATACAATTCATGCTGATTTATGATAAGCTATGTGAACAAATTAACTACATAACTATTTGATACGCTTTTATATGTCAGAGTAGTGTTGCTTTAGTTATATGCGTCCGGTACTTAGAGAACAATTTTATTTTAGTTTGACATTTTGAGAGACGTACGAAGTGCTTTCGGTGTTAAATATATTACCACAGGCAGCAACCTAAATATCTGAGTTACCTAATTATTTTTGAATCATTATGTAGTGAATGAAAGACTAAGTATTTACACCTTCAATTGCTTAAAACCAAAGTGTAGCAATTGCTATGTTCAGAATTACAAACAAAGCAACAAATTTTATTGAAAAATAAAACTACGATATGGAGTATTACAGAATGCTTAAAAAGTGGCGGGAATGAACATTTAACTGCTTTATTTGATATCAGTAAGGTTTATTTGCCATATAAAGTACCAATGGGGGAATGTTGAATACCGGGACACAATCCGAGATCTGTATCTCGGACACAACCCGAGGCACACATTCCGAACCGTATTCGGAGATCCGTATCGTAGATACAAACCTCCGGGTAATATCGGAGTTTTGTATCTCCGATCGTATCAGCACCGATTAGAAGTGCAGAGGTTCAACATTCGCTGCTAGGAAGGAATGGACATTTTAGTTATTTCTGTCAACAGACGACAAGCTCCTTAGTTAAACTTACGCATGTCCCAGTTCGTGTGGCAAGAGGCTCACCATTCCAAACGACATGGGGACGTCCTCCACCATTAGAATGCTGTAATTGGCATTGCAAACGCCACCGAGACGAGCCTGCCCTGAAATAGAAAAACAATATTCAGATTTTGTCAGAATAGAAATTTTTGAAAGTACTGGTATTCTACTTTTATTACTTTGTTGCGTACACTCGCGATCCAATCGAAAGACAAGACGCGGTTGCCAACAGCTCTTTACTGATAATAGAGAGTTTTAGGGAAACGTCGCGCATCTTAAATCGGCACGGAAACAATCAACAATCAACGTGCGCAAAAACGCGTCCTCATTTCAATGAGGAAAATGCAATTTAGCTTGGCAAAACACGTCTTAGTGTCTGTATGACTGACATTTAAGCCTATTCGCATACTTGAGGAGCAACCAGCAAATGGTTTGCCGAGTAAGAACGTAAGAAACAAAAATTGACTAAACACAAAAAGGTCCTAAGCTTGTATTTCTAAAATAGTATCATAAACCCCCTGAAAAGTTAGATATGCTAATTTGGATTGGTTGTCGAGAACTAGAAGAGAAAAAATGAAAGCCGTTTAAAAAAATCCCTATACCGCCGGTTAGAGCGCAGCTCTCTAGGAGCTGCGCTCTAACTTTAATCAACCTCTTGAGGAGGATGGAAGCGTACTGAGGGATAGGTGACTCCTTGAGGTCACGTTACCTCAGGGGGGGTCGTGTAACCTCAGGGGGTTCACGTGACCTCGGGGGAGGGGCCACGTGACCTCAGCCATTCCCGTGACCTCAGGGGGGTCAAGTGACTTCAGGGTGTCACGCGACCACAGGGGGAGTCACGTGACCTCGCGGTTACGGTGACGCCGACGCCCACGGCGACGCCGCTCAAGCCTGAAACGGGGCCCTAAGAGCTGCGCTCCAAAAGTGAAAAGATGGTCGAAGTGCAGGAGAGGTGGTGCGCATGAATCACAATCTCAACCTTATGATGGGGAATTCATTGCTTGTATATTTTGGGGAGAGGCGACGCCTTGGGTGGTCTAGGGAGTTCCGTATAAAAGCCATGCATAAATGTTCACCTGAGTTTGAGGCGCTATCTCTACGAATTCTTCCGTATCAGGGTTTAAAACTCATAATACAAAAATTGGGTTGGTTGTCGAGAGGATTGGGATGCGAAGTTCTAAATGTGAATTCACGTTCAGATTTTTTTTTAAATCTTCGTGTCTCCTTGGTGATTGTTGTAGCGCCTCGGCGAGCTTACTCGTCAGGTCACTATTTTTTTCATACTTCTGCTGCAATTTTCTTTACGATAAAACAAAAGCAAGTACTAGAACTCGACTTACATGTTATGAAGAACAGCGTGTCCAATCTGTAAGCACTGCCTCGTGTCCCTACCATAGCGTGAGTCAGAGTACTTACGATCGGTAGCGGTCGCTTGGGCCGATTGTATAGACTACTACCGATAGACTACTACTGTTTGTGTGTGCTACATACATGATTCCTGACGGAGTCAGCGACGAATGACTGGCTAGAGTTTTTGTAAGATAATACTAAGGTCTGCAAAGGGTAGGAATGTGCACTTTTTTATAGAAATAAATATAATTTCCAAAAAGAAAAACAAAAACGCGGCAACGATAGGAAGCTATAAAATGCTTTCGTAACTTCTTTCACGGAGCTGCCACTGCAGGCACCGAGGAGACACATAAAATAAATTTAAAAAGAAGGTGAATAAGTGTTTTAATTGTTTTATGGTGTGAAACTAAACGTTATAAATATTAAGAAGAGAAAAAGCAAAATTTCCAATTGCTTGAGCTCAGAACTCCATGTACCGCACGAAGGGGTCTCGGCTCCCTTGGCTCCCAGGGGAAGTTAAGACCTCGGACATTTCAGAGGTTTATGAACTTTTGACAAACGTACGCTTAAGGGCTTTTTCTTTTTCGTTTGATTCTCTTTCTTAAGATCTTCCTCGGCAAAAACCTTTATGCATCAGTCCCCAGGTACGCACCCACACATCTCTTCGATCGTATTTCCAGCCTCTTCGTCTTTTTTTGGCGCAGCGGTGTAGAATTCTTGTGAATGAACCGTGTACTCGTTTTTACACACGTCATTTGCGATCGTATTCGTACCGATCGGCTATGCAAAGGTGTTTGTTAAAACTCTCTACTGCCTTGAAACGGGGACCGGGCTGTGTGTGTGCTTCGCGAACCAAGCGTGGTGGGACGTGAGATAGGGCATGTAAACGAACACGGCTGGTGCTCCATGATGCTGCCAGGGGAAGTGGCCCACGATTTCATGTTCACCTTCAGGCCTGTTGTCGCCATATAAACGTGGAAGCTTGCTGAATAGATAGCATTGCTGTAGATAGCACTAAAACGTTCCCGGATGCTAGCCTTTTATCGAATCCGGTACTTGCGATTGTTTTCAATATGTTGTAAATGAATTAGTAAATACTAAGTGCTGTCAGAGGGCGAACATGCTTATCAAGATATAAAACTGACCTAACTTATATATAATTTTCGCCCCCTTCAATAAATTGCTTTAGGCTTCGCCTGTGTGATCTTACCGCGATCGCATTGGTTCCTGGTTAAGATCTTCCTTCCAGTAACGATATTCTTTGAAGCGCCGACTGCGTGACGGTGCAGAGTTCAGAAAGCGAATAGCGGCGCACAGCAGAAGACTGAACTGAATGTCGCCATTCTGTTCCAGTAGAATCTGCTTTGTCATTTGTATTGGTTGTTGCTACTTGTAAAACAAATTATTAGGGACTTTACGACCGCCACGTTATAAGCGCCCCCTGAAAGTCGCTGCATTGAGCCGTGTGATATAGAACTCGATTTTTGGCCAAACATCCAAATTCCGCATATGATTCGCCAAATACTTCAAACACAGTGTCATTTTGGAAAAATGAAAATGAAACCTAGCACCCAAGTGTTGATTGTGGAGAATGCCAGTGACCCTTATCTGTTCACTGCCCAAACAACTTTCATCTTAATTGGTATTGTGGGTACACGGGTGCGTGTGTCATCGTGCCCCAGCCAATTTCTATCGCGCAATAAGATGCACATTAATATTACCTACGATATTTTTTTGAGCTTCACCAGTCTGAAATGAGAACTTATGTCAATGACGCACTTCGATTTGATGACGATCAGCGCAGACAAGTGATTTACTTGTCTGCGCTGATCTACTATGATCGGCCCCATCATCATCTAAATCAGCAATATTGAGAATCAATTGGGGTTCATTTGGATAAAGTGGAAACCACTTCCAATATGGTGCCATTGAGCTACCAATGTCATCCAATATTGCACGGTAATTAGCACCCCAACGGATAGATTGGATACAACATACAATATAGTTTCAATGAAATTCAAGTCTTGTTTTAGAGCGCAGCTCTTAGGGGCCCGTTTCCGGCTTGAGCGGCGTCGGCGTCGCCGTCGCCGTAACCAAGGTCACCCCAAGGTCACGTGACCCCCAGGACACGTGACCCCCCAAGGTCACCCCCCGGTCACGTGACCCCCCAAGGGCACATGACCCCCAGGTGACCCCTAAGGTCTCGTGACTCCAAGGTCACGTGATCCCTCCCAAGGTCACGTGATCCCTCCCAAGGTCACGTGACCCCCCGAGGTCACGTGACCCCCGAGATCACGTGGCCCCCAGGTCACGTGGCCCCCCTCCCCGAGGTCACGCCCCCCCCACCCCCCGAGGTCACGTGACCCCCCTCCTCCCGAGGTTAGATGACCCCCCCCGGAGCGTATTAAAGAATGTGGGGAGGAGGAGGAGAAGGAGGAGGAGGAGGGGTCTGCCCTCCCCTTAGTACCCTTCCCTCCTCCTCCTCAAGAGCTGCGCTCCAATTCGGCGTTACAGGGAGTTGTAAACGGTTTCACTTTTTTATTAGGCAGTCATTGTCACCCTTTTGCATAAACTGAAAACCACTTTTAATGAACTTTCAATGAGCTTCTAATGTTGTCAAATATGGGGTTTACTAAACCTCCTAATGTATAAAAAAGCGTTATTGTTCTATAAAGAATTCAAGCAGAATAGTCTCCCACTCACAACATAACGGAAAGGGATCTACACGCGAAAGAAGTCTTTATCAAACCGTAAACCAAGATATTTTGAAGGACCATTAAGACATCTTGTAAAAATAACGAAATTGAAATAGTCGCATTTCCAAAACGTGGTTAAATTGAATTCCAGAAGTTTTTTCGCAAACTCACACTTTCGTACGCTATGTATGCTGATTTTGAATCGGTTCGTCTGTCAATAGATAAGAATGCAGGAAAAAATAACACTGGACCAAAATCACATACCATTCAGTTTCGGAATTTGTTTTCAGTGCTTACGACGGTATAAAAGTTCCGATGAAAATTTATCGTAATGCAAACACTGAAAATATGTTTTGTGTGTGAAAATATTACAATAATTGTTAAGGAAATTGGGAAATTACTGACGATAAACAAAGAAATGATTCCTCAAAACGACAAAGACGAAGAAACACACGAGAATGGTCATGAATGCTAGATATCTCTAAAACCATTTAAGGAAAACAAGGTACACGATCACGATCGTTGGACTAGAAAATATAAATTCCCAGCCTGTATAATTTGCAATGACAATTATTATGCCTCAATGTTTATTCCAGTTTACTTTCATAACTTACCCGGAAATGACTGTCATTTATTTATAATAAAAAAAAACACCGTGGGTTACGACAAACCAGATTGGAAGCAGGAATTGTAAGAGCAGTTTAGGAAATATTTGAATTGAGATTTGTGGTTAGTTTTAAAGTTGTCAAAAGTTTTAATGAACTCATTTCAAACTTAACTGAGAAACAGTTAAGAGAGGCCTCCAAGTATTTCAATAACTCCATCCTGTTTCAAAAACGTTGCTCCACTTTTGATCACATAGATTAACGTAAAAGGTATGATGAAACCGGATTTTTTTCAAGAGATATCTTTGCAAGTAAGATGACAGGAGATGAAATAAAAAAAATACGAAAGAGGATTAACCTTCTATAGAAAATGCTGTAAAACACTCGAAAAGTATTCTGATCTTTATCTCAAACAATATGTTTTATTGCTCACAATAGTATTCGAGAACTTCC